TTTTTTGCCGGCTTAGTTACCACTGCACGGGTTTTGCTTAAGAATAAGCATTTTTCATGAAAATAGAATTTTTTCAATGATTTCGTATTTTGTGCAAGTATTCAAGATCCAAGTACTTTTGTTGCATTTTCATGTTATTTTGTAAATGTTGGAAATATTTTTACAGCCACTTGAAAGTTATCTTTGAATCTTATTGTTCAGAAAAGTGCCTTAGCTTGAAATTTTTACAATTTTAATTTTTTTTTGCAATCATTCCAAAAAGTTATACCTATATGCAAGTAGCTCGGAGTGAAAATTTTTACTCTTTCAAATGTTTCATTCATCAAATAATATTGTCAATATTGTTTTTGAGTCAGAAGGGTTAGAAAACGACAAAAATGAACCTACGCTTTTGACTGAGAAATAAGGAAGATGTTGCTGTTGTTATAATAAAATTATCGCTGAACTAAGGCAACTTTTTGCATCGCAAACTGCCTTTAATAATTGTGTTTGTTAGGTATTCCAAAGCCCTTTCAAAGCAGTCAGTTTTTCATGGAGCTGCTTATTGTTTGTGTAGTCTATTATCAATGTTTCTGATCTCAAAAAAGCTTGTTTCTTGCTTCTTTAGCTTTTTCTTTAGCATCATTCCAGTTAACCATAATGCGAAAACACTATGCGCCTTAACTGGTCAAATCAATTCAAAAATAAATCAAAAATTGCCAATAAAAGTTGGAACTAGCAATCTTTTAATAATTTAAGTTAACTAAGTTTAACGATAGTTTTCTGCACAGACACGAAAACAATAGAAATGAGTAATATCAACGGTAAATTGTCTGCAAAGGCCTTAAACTTTTAACGCTAGAAACTGAAGATTTTTTCTGACAAATTTAGTTTTTCGATTTGTTTCTGCAATTTTAAGCACAGGAATCATTCCCGAGAAAATTATTTTACTCAATACCATAAAATTGATTTCGCCTCTTTTTGAACGTCAGCGGACTTCACTCGGGGAAAAATTGTCACCAAGTGAACTCCCGGTTGTCACGACGAGCCAATAACTGTTGAACATTTTTGTGAACAGTTCGTCTGACATCTTTTTGCCTGAGAACATACAAATCGATTTAAGAGAAATTAATGTTCTCTTTTTTGAACGTTCAGGTTCATTTCAAAAATTAATTTGCCTAAAAGCGCCTAGTATTTAGTTTCCGATTACGATAGTATTTAGTTTCCGTTTTAAAAACGCTTGAAACAGGTTTCATTGACAATTGTACCGATTTTTTTCTTAATTACTTCTTTTTTTGTGCGCGAGATGAGAAGCAAATATTTTGCTCGAACTCGTTTTTAATTAAAATTAATTTTTGCGTGTTATTTTCCGTTAACTCTCAGGCTTCAGCAGTTTCATCAATCAGCAGGCAGTGGTGAACAATGTAAATTTTATTTACAGCCTCTTTTTAGTAGTTTTTTTAAGTTGGAAGAAAGTGTTTGCTGTAGTTTTCACACCACAGATTTTTACGGTGTGAGGTTGTTCTTCAAAGTGTAAACAATTTCTTAGGCCCAAAGCATAATTATTAGGGATTAATAAAAGTTGATGTTTCAAAGCAAAACAACCAAAATCCATTTCAATATAAGATGCAACATTTTAAACACCGGTTATTTTTAATTTCTGGGAAAATTACCGCTCTTCTTCGCACTCTTATCAAACGTGGTTTTTCGGGTTCTGGATTTTTAAATCAATTTTTGTTTCAACTCGATTTTTAAAATCATTTCGTAGACTTTTTCAAATAGTTTAAGAACAGCTAGTTGCTCTTTAATGATGCTATGGTCCCTATCCTTAAATTTGGATTTTGCTAAGTTAAGTTTTACGACAGGGTAACTGATACATAATTCCTTCTGACTCCTTAAGTTAGAAACTTAAAGCGTTCGTGTAATTCTATCTAATTAAGGATCTATTTCCTAATTAAAGACGCTGTTTTTTAAACGTTAAGACAAAAAACAGAAAGAGAATATCCCCACCTTAACTGTTTTTAGTGCAGCTGAACCTAAAAAGCCTTGATTGAAAATTTTAATGTATGAAGATAAGATGCTTAGATTTCCTTTTGCTTTCAGAAACTATTCCAACTGAATGATTAGCTTCTGCCCGCCAAACAAAAGCCTTACTGCAAAGCAATCAAAATTTGTCAAAGTTACAAATAGTGCGTTGATGTATTTTGAAGCTAATATTTGCTTGATATTATAAAAATAGCAAAAGTGTTTGATTTTTATATAAAAAAACTTGAAATTAAAAATATTAAAAAATTAGGAGAAGTTTGAAAAAAAACTGACCTCCTTACAATTTTTCTACAACAATTAGTAAAAAAAATTTATTATATTTCCCTTGGAAATATTTTTTTAATATAAAGAACGTACAAACTACGGTCCATTTTTTGCGAGATTTAAAATTATGAAAAAAACAGCACTTTTTTTCAACGATTAGAACATAGAAATAAATGCTGCAAGATTGGTTATTAGTCTTGTGTAATTCAAAACTGTAATGAATTGGCTTCAAGATGGTTAAATATTTCAAACGGACTTGAAAATTAAAAAAAGCGTTATAGATTTTTTTAAATTACTTCTTCACTTTTCAATTTATTAAATGAATCTTCTAAGTGTCGACATAGGAAATGAACACATATTTTAAAACAAGTTTGTCTTTTTATTTGAAGAAAATCATTAAAACTTGATTATTTTCGTATTCAGTAAATTTGAGAACGTTTTTCTCCTGCTGGAAATAAGAGTTTTGTATCATATTCGAAAATTTTGGTGAGCTCGGTCAAAAAATTTAAAACACAACATTTTTAAACATGGCAGCTAGAGTGGCTCTAAATTGTCAGAAACGGAACAACAAAGGATTTGCAAACTCAATAAAACTTGTACGTTTTGAAAATTGAAAAAAAGTCAGTTTTTTATTTGCTTAATAATTTTATGAAGAATTAGATGAGAATATGCACTTAAAGCAATTAAGAGCTATTTTGACTAATTATAACAGTACTTTTGATTTGATGAAATCTTAAATAAATATTGCGACATTCAGCTACCTACTTGAAAAAATGTAATTAAGTGACATTGCAAGTAGTGAAAAACTCCTTTTTGCCTCTGTTGAAATAAAAACGCCATGAGACAGCTTCAATGCATTTGTGAAGAATTTTAAAAAATCGAAGAGCTCAGATTTCGTCGTTTTGAGAGATTTCTTCTTATCTTAAAACTAATAGATTTGTTCTCATTTTAATTTTTGTTTACTTTGCTTGACAAGAAAAAGCTTCTCCAAGTGGCATCGCAGTGGGTGAGCATTGGCACCCCGAGCCGATATCTGCTGGATGTTTTTACGAGCAGAGTTCCTTAACAAAAATTTACGGTACACATATCAGACCGTCTTTGTAAATTAATTTTTGTAAATTAAGCAAAAAATGTGGGCAGTATTCTAAATTGAGCCTGGAAAATGTAGAAAAATAGAACGAAAACTGCTGACTTTATAACTTATGGCGTATTAGGACAAAATCGGTCGTAAAATGACATCTTTTTTGCAACAAAAAAATAACTGGAAACAATTCAATTTATTTACTTGTTTATGGAACCAACGAAATTAACTTTATAAACAATTTACATGAAAGTGATTGCGATTCAGGTTTTGATGGCGGAAAAAAGGTTGCAAAACCCCTTGAATGGGTTTCATTGACATTTGTACACTTCTTTTTCTTAATTGTTGCATTCTTTTGTGCACCAGTTTGTTTTGCAACAAAATATTGTGCACGAACACTTTTGCAAAGAGAACTACTTTTGCCTGTCAGTTTTTGATAATAATCAGGCTTCAAGAGTGTCGCAACAACGAAAAGCAATCAACATCATTAACTATAATTTAAAAAGTATTGAAACTTCTTCTTTGCAGCTTTGTTCTTGGCAGGAGGAAAGATTTTGGAGTAGTTTCCCTAAATCGCATAAATAAAGTTGTTCAAGTTTTCTTTGTCAAAAATCAAGTTTTACGGTTTGAGATCTTTATCCAAGCAGTAAACAGATTCTAAAGCAGAGTTCAAAACTAATATATATTAAAATTTGATGATTATTCGAGCCGAACTATTTCAATGCAAATTTTAAACTAAAATGCTTGGTTTTTTACTCCAATGTTCTTTTTGGGTTATAGTGTTTTAGAATGTTCGTTTTCTTTGATATGGTTAGGAGTTTTTCCTAGTCAAAGACATTACCGTATAAGTAAAAAAAGCTATAGACATAATAGATAATAGTGACGTCGAGGTTTTCCATGTTGGGATTTTTTCCAGCACAACTTTTCTTGAAAAGACATGATGCAATTTTGTTCAAGAGATCAAGATTGGATCATTAAAATACTTTTTTGCTTCGTTGAACCGTTCTAACTGTTTCGTTTGTTGGACTGGCGAACAAAGGCTTGGCTAATTGGTTTGTTTCTATTGAGCAAACTGAGCTCAATTTCTGTGAAAATTACAAATGAAGCTTCTG